TTGTAAATACGTGGGAACATCACTATTCTCAGACAGAGATCTACCAAGTTTTATCTTCTATATGAAACCTGGAGCAATTGTTTATGTGCACATGGACAATAATAGAATAGTGTTTCTTTTTATGAAGAGGAGAAGTAGCTCTGCTTACTTGATGCTAAACTGTCAGGATCTGTGAAGGTTCATCAGTGCTCTGCCTATCACTCCTCATGTGACTCTGGGAGCACCCTTTAATCACTGCCTCTCATTGTGAAAATGTGTTACATGCAAAATTATTGTGAAGCATTATTCGTTGCTTATGAATGCTTTGAAATCTTGAAATCTGCAGTAATACGTATTTTTTAATTCATCTCTTCTTCCCAGTATTTTAAATTTAAATAAATGCTAAAAAAAACCCATTACAATGAGCAAGTATAATCTTTTTCATATCAAACACCTAATGATTCCTGAATCTTGCATCTTAATTTGGGGATTGATCCTGTGCAATGTGCTTTGATCCTGATGCAAGAAAATGTGCATGAGTTCATTTAAGCATGAACCTTATAGTCATTTCCCATCTGCTTAAAGGAAGCATTTGGTCAAACACTGTGGATTGAAGTCCAAGTGCTTGGAAACTAGTGTGTTTAAATATCTGTTATTTGTGAGAGACGTTCTCACTTGTTATCCTGGGAAGGTGTTCTCCTATGGCAAATTCTGACACTGACTTCATGTAATGTCTTCAACTTTGGAGTGTCACCCTAGAGCAAGAGGAGGGATCCCAGCAGCAGGAGCAGAGGAAGGACCAAGTCCTCATTTACACTTCCACCTGTACCAGTTTGCATAATTAAAGATGATACATTTCCCTTTAAGCTATCTTTTATAGACATCAACACATTTATCTTTAAGGAAAAACATGAGCTCGAGATTATAACATCTAACTTTATTTCACATTCTGAAGCTTCCAGAGTGCTTGCAAAGCATTCATTTCAGACATTGTTTAAACCAGTAGTTAGGTATCTGACAGCCATACTGGTTATGCACCAAGCAATCTGGGTTTTTAATCTCCCTAATCCAGGGGACATAAAAAAAATGGTTTTATATCCAGTGCAGATTTCAGGAGGAAAAAAAATACAGTACATTTAAGCTCCCCTTTCTACATTGTTTACTAAATATAGTGTCATACAGGTAATAATATGCTGTGGAAAGTTCTGCTGTAATGGAATGTGCATTTACAATCCAGGAGTAAAAATTTACTCATCTAAAATTATTTCAGTTTCAAGGAAAAAGCAGTTTTGGCCAGCTAGGTACACACTGTAGGCCAAATTATCTCTTCAAGCAGTCGACCAGACTCAATAAGCAAAGGGAGCAGTCTTGAATTCTGCTTTTCATAGGCATATTTGAATAGGTTGCATCACCTATTTCAGAGCTAGAATGCTGTGAGCACACTTGGGCATGCAATATAGTTCACCAGACTCAATAAGATTCTAAATGGAAAAAAAAATATTAATAAACGAAATAACACAACTTTCTTTCTCCAGAAGACTATTGTCCATAGCCTGCGACCAGCTAAGAGCAGTTTTGCAGTCTGATCAGTAAGTCCTTGGTGTGCTAGAACCCACAGTGTCTGCAGTGAAATGCTCTGTAAACTCTGTAAATGATTGTTCTAGCAATGACATATATCCCTCTAGAAGGGAAAAAGTTGCACACTAAGAATAAAACAATGAAAGCCAGTCAGTAAATACATGCAAAATAATTTGCCTTTAGAATAAGGAATACTTGTGGTTTACAGTAAGTAATGCTTGTAAGCTCAACATTTGTATTAATATTTGCAATTAGGGTGATATTGGGCTGGAAGATTGCCTGTCAGAGATCCCTTCCTGAGGGATGCTGAGCTTGGCAAAGGGATGCATGCTGTCAGTCTCCAAAAGCCTGAAAAAATAGTAAGCATTTTACTAATTCTCAAAAGCTGCTGGATCTCTGTCCCTCCCATAAGATGGATGAGGACTTATTGTCTCTACAGAAGCACAGGACCAACCCGCTCAGGATCAGGAGTCCTGTGGATGGTAGTTGCCCAACCCTTTTAGGAGCAGCAGGCTTATTTGTAAGTGAGGAGTAGGACTGCTCCTCTACTTGTGGAAATTCCTTAACCTTTATTTGAACATTAAATATTTAACAGGAAACTGATACAATAAGACTTATATCAGGCCCCATTTGTCTGTGCTATTTCCACATTCTGGACTTCACTCACATCAGTGAAATTAGTCTCTACTAAGCCAGGGGTTAGCTTGACATGGTATATGTATAGCAATCAAGAACATATGTTAACCACAACTAAATATTCCTGTTTTATCTGCATATTCCAACTAGTTGTACAATCCCAGTATTCAGCCATAGATATCTAAAATCTTGCTTTAGTGAAAGACAAGATTTCAGCGAATAATTTGCCAGGAAAAATTGGTACAATTTGAGAAATACAATTTGAAATAAGGAAATGAGTAATCCCATAGCAAAACAGGAAACTTAATTAAAAAAATAGTTGTCATTCATGCTGCTCATCTGGATAACCAGAACTAGAAAAATGAAACATGAGGAGTTCTCCCATATAGCCTTACTGAATGTTAAAATGTGACTACCTGTTCTGCTGGCTGCAGAAAGAAAATTCTTTATAATTGTTACCATGCATTTAGTATGTTGTTTGAAACTTTTGTCTGTGTGAATCTTCATATACTTCAGCAATTTTCACACACTGTGGGAAATTTTATAAAAGCAGCCCTAACATGAAGTCTTTGAAGATCCTCTACACTCAGCAGAACAGGATGTCTGTGACCATAACCAGGACTGTGACATTAAATCCTCTACAAGGTCTGTGTCTAAAGTTCCTTGAACAGAAGCTATTCTGTTTTTATAGGAAAAAGATGGGTAATGGGAGATGTTATCTGAAAATTCAACATTCTTGGCAAAATATGTAAAACCAGAACTATTTTTTTTTTAAAGAAGCAGAATAGTGAAATTTGCAGAAATATGTCAGTAATCCCTAACATGATCTGTTTCTTCAAGAAATTATCTGGTTTTTATCTGACATCATTTCTTTCCTCTTAAGTAAAGATACAATGGTTACAATTAAAGCTAAAACACTATAAATATGCAAGCATATATCAGAGCAGTAAATTAGAGCCAGCAGTGCAAAGAAAAGTGATCCCTTCAACAGTGGGATACTGTGCTCTAAGAAACCACAGTTACCCGCCTCTTGGCAATGTGTGTCCCCTCCCCAATGTCAGCTGGAGACTTCTCAGAGATCATCATGCACAGAAAATTGTTGAGATGATTGAGGTTCCTCCTAAATGCACTTGCGTGTTTGCAGCAAGGACCTAACTCAGGAGTCTGGGAAAGCTTTTATGATGGTTTCATAGGCGGGAGGGGGGGTTTGTGTAGAATGACAGATGCGGAGGCTATTGTTAGACCAGTGGAATTCTGGTCGACTTAAGCTGTTGGTGGTGCTTCCCACCAGGGTTGTGGTGGTGTTTGTGGGCGTGAGAGTGATCAGCTGACTGTTCGTCTCCACGGGGAGGGGAGGACACTGCAGGAAAGGGTGGAAGGTGGATGCGCGGAAGCTTGACTTCCTGGGGAAAGAGTTAGCTTGCTCCAAGGATGTTTGCCGCTGGAAGGTGAGGCTGGCCAGGCTGAGGTTGCTCCGACGTTCGCAGCTGCTATTGCGGTAAAATCCAGTCCTGCCAGTAGTGTGGCTATGGGAGGAGGGTCTGGACCGACGACTGAAGGCTGAGGAACTCCCCTGCGAAATGTGGGCGCTAGCTCTGCGACGAGACAAGCAAGTGAACAATGCCCAGATGATCCCTCCAATCACCAGTCCGACCACCATGGACACTGTGAAGGCTATTGTTATCTGTTCTGAAACACAATAAAAATACACAGAAAAGTTATTTCATTAACTCTGAAGGATTTTCCTGACAGAAAATTAATTGAAGATGGCAGCCTCCTTAAAAGATGAACAAACCCTAAGATTTTTGTATGTAATATGTGAACCTTACAACACAAACACAGCAGTTCAGATTGCTCTCATTATATGATGTTTTTTCTCTAATTTGCATATTTCAACAACAGAAAGTAGCTTGCATTTAACAGCAGTTTCTGTACAATGCAAGGGAAAATTCTTTAGTCCCTTCCAAAATCAGCCACCCACCAGCCCCACGGTGTCTTATAAAACCACCAAGCATTTTCTTCTTTGGGCAATATGAGGTGTGGATTTATGCAGGCTTGAGTTCTGTTTATAGGCATTTATGTTCTATGTGTACATGTTTGCAAACTCACCTATTAGAACAGTGATGTAGCTTCTGTCATGTTCTTAATGGAGTAAGCCTTGTATGTATTACAACATGAGGACACATCCCAGCGTTTTACTTCTGAGTAACAGATACTTTAAATCTTCATAGTAATTAATGTAAATTACTATATCCTAAATTATTATGGTCAGAGATAGCCATTCATAATACTAAGTCTCCTGAATATTTCCCATCCCCAATGCCCAATTTAAAGATGCATTAATCTGCAATAAAGAAAAATAAGGTTCTAGCTCTTTTATAAATGCTTTCAGGAATTAAGAGATCGGAAAACAAAACAAAGCATGAGTAGATTTCCACCCCAACACACACATGATTTCACAGTGTGGAGGAATAAGATTTTTTTTCCTTGTATATTTCTAAGAATAGGACAATTACTTCAGAAAACTTTACTTACTTTTGCAAGGAAGCGCCAGCTTTCTTGCTGTTCTAAAAAGTTCAGAGATAGATTTGTAATCCTGGATAGGGCCTGAAATGAACTCAAAATCTTTATAGATCCCCCCAAAATTCAAGAATAGATTGGATCTCATACAAGAAGGAAAACTATGTTGACTGCTGGGGAAGCAAAGAGAGAATAGGTGAAAAAGAGACATAGGACAGCTTGAAACATGTTTATACTATTTCTGCTGTGTTATCATGTTTGTCAAACATTTCTGTTTCTCTCTGGGGGAGATCTTATAGCTGCCTTCTGGTACCTGAAGGGGGCCTACAAGAAAGCTGGGGAGGGACTTTTTGCAAGGGCAGGTAGTGACAGAACAAGGGGAAGTGGCTTTAAACTGGAAGAGGGTAGCTTTAGATTAGATATTAGGAAGAAATTCTTTACTGTGAGGGTGGTCAGACACTGGTACAGGTTGTCCAGAGAAGCTGTGGATGCCCCCTCCCTGGAAGTGTTCAAGACCAGGCTGGATGAGGCTTTGAGCAACCTGATCTAGTGGAAGGTGTCCCTGCTGATGGCAGGGGGGTTGGAACTAGATGATCTTTAAGGTCCCTTCCAATCCTAACCATTCTATGATTCTGTGATTATTAGCCATGTGATTCATACTTGCAGTTGGAGAAAATTAGTTCGTTGAGCACTGGAAAGTTTAACATAAGCTTTTTGCACGTTTTTGAGTGGGGACTCAAAGCAGCATTAGATGTGAACCTTGCCCTTGCTGCTGCCTATCAAACCCTGTCAGAGGGGCAGTATGTTCACCCCATATGCCTTTGCAGGTCTGGATCTAGACAGGACCAACATTATAATGAATTACTGACATCACCACGAATCTCCTACCCAAGTTTATTCACCTTGTATGTTTTTCAGGATAGACTTGAAGTTCCATGAGGTGCAGAAAATTTAAGCTCTAGTTAAGCCACTGGTATTTTGAGTGGCTGTACAATCCTACTGTTGCTTGCTTGTAACCTCTGCTTTCAGATAGGCTTCTAACCATTATCCTTTTCAAATGGGAAAATAAAGCAAAGACTAGAGAGGATAAAGAATGGCATATTGTTGCTGAGCACTGCTCCCTTTTGGGAATGCTCTGTTGTCCTTTAATTCAGAGACAGACCAGACTTGATGGTAAAATATAATTTTTGTTTAAGCCCTGTTTTTTACAACTAGGAAACTCCTGACAGGGCACACTAAAAAGGGTATTTTTCTTGACTGCTTTTTGCAAGAATCCACAGGCAGCATCCTGCACTGGAACTCCTGGCCACAGATCAGAGTTCCCTCACTAATAAGCAGCCTTCTGAAAAATTCATAATTATTCTGCACTTTATAAAACATCTGCGGAGACACAGCAGGCCTAATCATGCCCCTTTTACTCTGAAATAGCCTATTATACCATTTTAACAGATTTATCATATTCTGTTACTGCAAGTTCCTACTCATACTGCTGAAGGTGGGAAGGGAGAGCCAGGACTCAGTGACTTCTAGTTGAATAAATCCCGGGGAGTGTCCTAAGGACAGCACTTCCCAAGCACCAGAGCTGCAGTCTGAGTTACCCTGCTGCTGTCCTTGTGTGGCTATGGGAAAGTAGAGTAAGAACTAATCCTTTCTTAGGCTGATTTCTTTTACATCTCAACTGGAATGCTAGTTAGATTATCATATTTTGTGACTGCCAAGGGATCCCCCAGCCTCACCCAGGGCTCTATGCTGCCACCTGATATCCCAGCTCCTGTCTGGGCTCTCTGCTCCAGCAAGGAGGAGGTGAAGGGGATCTCTGCAGGGTTTGGGCACAAGCAGAAGCACAGCAAGCCACACGGGTGTACCTGGTTCTGGGGCTGCCATGCACTGTGGTGAGGACTCGTCCCTGCATCCCTCTAGCCATAATTTTCACCGCCTGCACAATCAAATCAGCATTTCACACTGTTAAAAGCAGATGAGGGAATTGACAAAAGTATTGAGTGCAGCTCTTCAGTCCTTCCCACGTGCTGTTCCCCTGTGCTGTTGGTACAGCACAAACAATTATCCCTTTGGATAATGTCTTCATTTTCTTTAACTTCTTTGATTCTTTTATTTTTCTACCTCTATATATGAATGTAAAAATAGAGGGCAAAACTATTCCAATTATGGATTTACACTGACTATTGCAGTTGCCATATAGTACCCCAAATGCTCTCATTTCCATTTGGACCTACATTTAATCCTTTTGCTTCTTATTATAGAAAGATCACTAGACCCAGTGGTTACAGACACTTTATTCTTTCTATTCCCAGACTCTCCTTGACTTCACTGGGAACTGTAGGTCACACTAATAGGCCGAACTTGCTTTTTGTTCACTCCCTGCAGAGGATGAATTTTGCTGAAATTTAATTCAGCTCTAAAAACCTACGTTGAAGAATTGTAAATCTATGCCCATTGATTTCCTCTTTAGAATGTCCAGCGATCCCAACCCTGAGGTACACTGGAGAAAATACTAGCAAAGAGAGAAAAAGATCAAAGGCAGAGTAGGACTTGCTGCACCTGGGATTTTTAGGGGAACGGCTGGCTTTCAGAGTTGTTTTTCTCTTCCTTAACTTGGGCAGTGCCAGGGCAGAGCTAGCTAGTACAGTCAGAGGAATACTGACACAAAGTGTGTCCCAAGGAGCCATTAAAATATCTTACAGTTGTTAAGTTTTCCTGGTTATGGCCTTGAAATAAGTTCTTCCCATCCAGCCTGGACATCAGGCTTGTTTCCAAAGGACATCATCCTTGTTTCCAAATTGGAAGCATGCGG